GGTAAATCTATGTAATTCATGATAACATANTCNTCATATAAAAAGTACATCTACTTATATCGAAAATAACGCCGTGCAGGTAATATCGCATTATTTAGAAAAGAGTTGAGAAAATTAGATGACAACGTACCTGTTTTGAAGAAACTTCGTCCGTAATCGTTGGCTGCCGCGTTAGGTGTGCGCATATTTTGTCATATTCTGTTTTTGCACACATGTGTTTTGATGTATGTGAGTCAGCGTTTACGACTTCAAATTTTGAAAGTTTATTGACATCATCTATGTCAACAACACAGAGCTATCGGAAACTTTCGGCCGACCGATTTGAAATGATCTATAGATACTATTGATAATTTCTTGAGATTGCAATATTATCGATAGTCACGTATGTGATCGATAACGCGAGACATTTGAGTGTAGAAAATCGTGAAACTCATGTATAGAAAATCAAAGCGTCTACTTTCTGTGCTTTTAATCTGACACCGCTTTTACAGTACGATGAGTACGACACGCGTGGTTTTCTGCACTTGAGTATGTAATAATTTATATTGTTTGATTAAGAAATGTTTTTTTTTTCCACGATGATTATTTTAGTCAACCACAACTGCATCACATTTTCTCAAAGCATTTTACAAATGCTCGTGTGATATGCGCTGTATGTACAATCTGCTTATACATCACATACCCTTTTTTATTCTGATGACTACACAATTAACTGTGATCGAGTGATATTTATCAAAGGTTAAATTAAGAAATGACTGAAGGAATGTTTTTCACATGGTTTATTTTACATCGTTGTAGTTATTTTAGTCGTTTCTTACAACCGCAATAATTATCACAAATGAACTAAATTTATATGTTTGTCTTGATAGGAATTGTTTTATTTATTTACTCAATTAAGGAAACTAGTTCAAGAAATAGAACTAAAACACAAAGATAATGAGAACATATGTCTTCGAAAACAGTTGTTTTGCATGTTGTCTGTTGTTTTGCGTACGTAGGTATTTGAATTTATATTACAGGATCGTACACCGACTTTTTGCGTGTAAATCAGCGCTAAACAAAGATGTATTACCATATTCTTTCCAATAAAATGACGTAGAAAATTATGACCCAGAAGTATAGCTTTGTTTACAATAATATTTACAGCAAAAAGTTTTACATATCATCATAAAAATTATTGTTACCATAAGTCGTTCGAAAGCAGAACTTACAAAAGCATGTGTAAACATATTATACAATATAAAACGTTTTATAAAATATAACTAACATATATAATACGTATTACATTTTTAATACGATTACACAGCATAAAACACAATGTGATTTTTTATAGAGTGATAAAAACGTATATATACTTTATTCGAGTAAGTCAGAAAATAGCAACATTTTTATTAGGTAGTAAGGAAAGGTTTAGTAGAATGCAATACAGCGACATTCATACAATTATGCAAAAATGAATGTGGCACCATTATTTTGTATCATTATAGCACAAAGAAAAATTTCAGTTTCGGACCTCTGTTTTGTTACTGTATCGGGAATCAAGATTTCTCTATTTTTACCATTTTCTCTCACTGTTTTTCATACTTCAGTGTGGTGAACTATGTTATAACTTTTAATACTTATAATTTCGCGGAGAAAATAACTTTACAGAGACCAACCTTTATCAACCCTTTACGAAAACAATAAATATATTACCAAATAGAAATACAAATTTTACTGTACATTTTTCTTTCATGTCAATCTTTCAACAGTACCTTGCTAAAATTGTATACTTCTAAACCATTATAACACCACACGTAATAACTTAAATTGTGGCGTTACAATTTAACTTATGTGATTGCGGTTCTCGCTTACATAAAAAATGTTGAATTTATATATTTACTTTTAGAAACCTAAATAAGTTAATAATGGTTGTTTTCCGGATCTTTTTTTAGATTTCTTAGTTGCTTGATATTTTCTCGTTACGCTTAGTAATGTGTCTTTCTATTTATCGCGACTACGAACATGAAATACATTATACGCGCACAACACACACCAAAATCATATATATAAACTGTAGAAAACAATACATAGAATTAACCCATACTGCTCTCTTTGATTATGTGCCACTATTTGATATTAAAAATCAAAGTAAAAAAATATACAATATCATTCTTCATTTTTCATCGCTTTCACCCGGTATATCTAATTGATCATGAAAGTCATTTGTAGAATCAAAGTACCCTCTGTAAAACATAACTACACACATCTTCGTTGCAAGTTTTTCGTACGGATTGCCGCTGTGTTCAATTATTTCAGTGTTTTCTGTTACTATTTCCGGCATCATACTTAACCTAAATGTCATACCTGCAAACACGGCGTATAATTTTCTCTTTCGCATAGCCGCTTTCAACTGTCCCATCGTGGGTGGTTTTGTTGTGCAATTCAGCTGTTCCATTGTGTCCGTCAAAATCTTCAAATATTGTTGTAACAGTTCCTCGTCGTGATCATGTATCACGGCAGTTTCCGGTGAAGTGTTTAAGAAGTGATGCAAGTCAATAGCAGGCGATGAATAGGTGGCCATTTGATAATGTTGCTGCAAAGTGTTTCAAAAACGTTTAATTTTTAATGCTACTTTTACACTTACGCAAACTTTAGTAAGACAATCTTTGTTTTATGTGACGGAAAAGTACATTACCAGTAAAAGAGGTAGACTGCTGTTGTCAGGAAAGAGTAAGTTACTAATGGAAAAGTCTCCATTATTCAGAACACAAAATTCTTCGTGTTCGTAACTGAACGATTCGATGATTTGTTGTATAGTGTAAAGGTTATTAAGTACGCTTTCTATTTTATTCGCGACTTCCGGATAAATCTTACGCATAATATCAAGAGTCTTTCTCATAGCAAAGTCAAATGTTGGCATTATATGTTTGCATTGATCTGGTATCACAAGTCTGTCGATTTTGAATGACTCTATTAACTCAGGATCCTTAAGGATAAAAAACAAACATTTAAGAGGTTTTCGATTATTTTCTACTACATACATTACTGTACATTACAAAGGTCAGGTAAAAATACATGGTGTTCACATGATATATATTTTCTTTCGATTATCGTTACCTGTTCATGTAAAGCCACCGAGGCTGCATGAAATTTGGCCATAAGTTTTATTGCTTCCGTACAGTCATTCAAATTCAAACCTCTTTCGAAAGATTTCACTTGATATTTTTGTCTCAACAGATCTTTCAAAAAGAGGATTTGAAATTCTGTTGAATAATTGTACAATTCTGGGCCTATTTTTGATTGCAACAAAGTCTCGATCTTTGGCAAAACATTCAGCTGCATTTGTAATTTGTATAAAAATAAGTCTCTCAAAGAGTTATCAGAAAAGACTTTCGCCAAGAGACCTGCCATAACGGAGCCAGAATCGGAATCAGATTCGCTGGTACTTGCAGCATAGTATATTGTAACGTACAGTTTAAGTTCAGTCATGAAAGTCCAACTCATTTTGTCTTTGTTTTCAGTTTCGTTTTTTGTTGTATCAATATCGAGTCGAGCAGAAATCTCTTCATCATCAAGAATTGATTTTAAAAAATGTGTGGTCAGTTTGCATGTGGTCGATATGTCCATTTTGTTCGTTGAATGATTAATCTATATAATTCGTGATAACATAATTGTTATATAAAAAGTATACCTTAGCTCGATCTGGCAAGAATAACGCCGTGCAGGTAATTTTGCATTATTGTGCGATTAGTGTAAAAATTTAGATAAACACTTTTACCTGTTCTTTGAAAAATGTCGTCCAAAACCGCCGGCTGTCGCGGTAGATGTGCGCAAATTCGTTGTGTTCTGTTTATGCACAGAAGTGTTTTGATCCATGTCAGTCAGCGTTTATGACCTCAAATTTTTAAAGTTTATTGACACAATCTGTGCCGACACAACACAGAGCAATCGATAAATTTCGGTTGAAAGATTCGAGACGATCAATAGTTTACTATCGATAATTCCTGGAAATAGCAGTATTATCGATAGTCGCGTATGTGATCGATAACGCGGGAAAATAGTGTGTAGAAAATAGTGAATGAATGCGTTTTATTACTGCGCTTTTAATATGACAGCGCTTTTACAGTATGATATGTTTTACGACACGAGTGGTTTTACGCTCTCGAGTATGTAAAAACTTACATTGTTTGATTAACAAATGTTTCAATTTTCCACGTTGATTATTTAAGTCGACCACAACTGCATCACATTTTCTCAAAGCATTTTGCAAATGCTCATGTGATACGCGCTGTACATTCTGCTTATACATCACATACTCTTTTTTATTCTGATGTCTACACAATTAACTGTGATCGAGTGATATTTATCAAAGGTTAAAAGAAGAAATGACTAAAGGAATCTTTTTCAGATGGTTTATTCTGCATCGTTGTAGTTATTTTTGTCGTTTATTGAAGCCGCGATAATTATCACAAATGAACTAAATCTATATGTTCGTCTTGATAGGAATTGTTTTATTTATTTACTCAAGTAGGGAAACTAGTTCAAGAAATAAGACTAAAACACAAAGATAATGAGAACGTATGTCTTCGAAAACAGTTGGTTCGCATGCGTTGTCTGTTGTTTTGCGTGCGTAGGTATTTGAATTTATATTGCAGGATCGTACACCGACTTTTTGTGTGTAACTCAGCGCTAAACACAGATGTATTACCATATTCTTTCCAGTAAAATGACGTAGAAAATTATGACCCAGAAGTATAACTGTTTTTACTATAATATGTACAACAAAAAGTTTTACATATCATCATAAAAATTATTGTAAGCATAATTTGTCCGAAATCGGAATGTACAAAATCATATGTAAACATATTATACTTATAATATAAAACGTCTTGTACAGTATAAATAACATATATGATACGTATTATACATATATTACATTAAGAATACGATTACACAGCAATTTGATTTTAAAGTGATTTTTTATAGAGTAAAGAAGTATTTACTTTATTCGAGTAAGTCGGAAAATAGCAACATTTTTATTAGTTAATAAGAATAATGTTTAGAAGAATACAATACAGCGACATTCATTCTATAATGCAAAACTGAATGTGGGACCATTCTAGTGTATCATTACAGCACGAAGAAACATTTCAGTTCCGGACGTATGTTTTGTTACTTTGTCGGGAGACAAGATTTCTCTATATATTTTTATTCTTTCTCTCGCGGAGAAAATAACTTTAGGGGGACCAACCGTTACTAACACATTACACGGAGACACTAAATATCTTAACAAACAGAAATACAACTTTCACTGTATATTTTTCTTTGATGTCAATCTTCCACCTGTACATTGCTAAAATTGTATTTTTCTTAACCGTTATAAAACCACACGCAATAAGTTAAATTGAGATAACAATTTAACTTATGTGAGTGCGGTTCCTGCTTACCTAAAAAATGTTGCATTTACTAATTAGGTGCAGAAAACTACAGCACAATAGTACTTCTCTCATCTTTTTCCAGATTTATTAGTTGCTTGATATTTTCTTGTTACGCTTAGTAATGTGTCTTTCTATTTATCGCGACTACGAACATGAAATACATTATTCACACAGCACACATAAAACTCATATAAACTATAAAAAAAAAGGAATACATAGAAGTAATCCATGGTTATCTGTCTCATTATGTACCATTATTTCGTATTAAACATCGAAGTAAAATAGTGAAAATATTTTTCATATTTCATCGCTTAATTCCGATGTATCTAAATGATCATGACAGTCACTTGTTCAAAGTACCCTCTGTGAAACATAGCTAAACACATCTTTTTAGCAAGTTTTGCGTACGGATTATCGCTGTGTGCAATAGTTTCTGCGTTTTGTTTTGCTATATCCGTCATCCTACTTAACCTAAATGTTATACCTACTAACACGGCGTATAATTTTCTCTTTCGCATAGCCGCTTTCAACTGTTTCATTGTGGGTGGTGTTGTCGTGCAGTTGAGCGCCTTCATTGTGTCCGTCAAAGTCTCCAAATATTGTTGTAACAGTTCCTCGTCGTGATCATGTATCACGGCAGTTTCCGGTGAAGTGTTTAAGAAGTGATGCAAGTCAATAGCAGGCGATGAATAGGTGGCCATTTGATAATGTTGCTGCACAGTGTTTCAAAAACGTTTACTTTTTAATGCTACTTTCACACTTACGCGAACTTTATTAAGACAATCTTTGTTTTATGTGACGAAAAATTAAATTACCAGTAAAAGAGGTAGACTGCTGTTGTCAGGAAAGAGTAAGTTACTAGTGGAAAAGTCTCCATTATTTAGAACACAAAATTCTTCGGGTTCGTAACTAAACAGCTCGATGATTTGATCTATATTGTGAAGGTTATTAAGTACGCTTTCTATTTTAGCCGCGATTACCGGATAAATCTGTTCCATAACATCACTTGCTATCATCAAAGCGTATTGAAATATTTGCAATCTATTTTTGCATAAAGGTTGTGTCAAAAATTTGTCGCTTCTGCATGACTTTACTAACTCAGGATCCTTAAGGTTAAAAAAACAAACATTCGTGAGGTTTTCGATTATTTTCTACTACATATTACTGTACATTATAGATGTCAAGTAAAAACACATGGTGTTCACGTGATTTTTTTTCGAATTGTTACCTGTTCATGTAAAGCCACCGAGGCTGCGTGTAATTTGGCCATAAGTTTTATTGCTTCGGTACAGTCAGTCAAATTCAAACCTTTTTTGAATGATTTTACTTGATATCCTTGTTTCAACAGATCCTTCAGAAAAAGAATTCTAAAGTTTCCTGAATGATAGTAATATTCTGGGCCTATTTGTGAGTCTAACAAAAACTCGATCTTCGGCAAAATCTTTTGCTGCATTTGTAATTCGTATATAAATAAAGGGCACAAAGATTTATCACAAAATACTTTTGCCAGGAGATCTGCCATACCGGAGCCGGAATCTGAAGTACGTGCAGCATAGCATACTGTAACGTACAGTTTAAGTTCACTGACGTGAAACCAATTTACTTTTTTTCTTTCAGTTTTGTTTCTTGTCATATCACTATCAAGTCGAGTAGAAACTCTTTTCTGATCAAGAATTGTTTTCATACAATGTTGCGTGATCGATTCGCAAGTGTTCGGTGTGTCCATTTTGTTCGTTGATTGATTAATCTATATAATTCGTGATAATGACATAATCGTTATATAAAAAGTATATTTTATCTCGATCTGGCGAAAATAACACCGTACAGGTAATTTTGCATTATTTTGCAAAGAGTTCAATTATTTAGATGAACACTCTTACCTGTTTTAAGGAAAATGTCGTCCGTAACCGTCGGCTGTCGCGTTAGGTGTGCGCAAGTTGTGTCTTGTTTATGCATAGAGGTGTTTCGATATATGTCAGTCAGCGTTTATGACCACAAATTTTGAAAGTTTATTGACACCATCCGTGCCGATAGAACACGGAGCAATCGATAAATTTCGGTTGACGAATGCGATCTATACTACTTACTGTCGATAATTTCTAAAGACAACAATATTATCTATAGTCGCGTCTGTAATTTTCGAAAACACGAGAAAACATCGTGTGTTGAAAATCGTGACTCGACTCGTTTATATACATATATAACTTGTGTATTTTTATTTTCGCAGCGATGCGAAATTTTATATTGCGATGTGTGTTTCACGACACGAGTGGTTTTACGCACTTGCATATATAATAATTTTCATTGCTCGATTACACGATGGTTTTATCTACGCTGCTTAATTTTGTTGATCATAACTGAATCATAATTTTTCAAAGCATTTTGCAAATGCTCATGTGATACGCGCTGTATAATTTGCTCACGTATCAAATTTCCTTTAGTATTCTGGAGACTCTATTTACAGAAATCAGAATGATCAAGTAATATTTCTCGAAGTTTATAGGAATAAATGACTGAAAGAATTGTTTGCAGAATTTTTTTCACGTCATTATTGTAGTTATTGTCGTTTATTGAAACTTCAGTACTTATCCCATAAGAGCTAAATTTATTTGTTTGTCTACTTTGATAAGAATTGTTTTGTCTATTTGTTCACTTTGGGAAACTATTTCAAGAAATAAGAGGAAAACAAAGATAATGAGAACGTATCTCTTCGAAAACAGTTGCTTCGCATGCATTGACTGTGGTTTGAGTATGTAGATATTTGAATTTATATTGCAGGATCGTACATCGACTTTTCGCGTCTAAGTCAACGCTAAACAAAAATGTATTACCATATTCTTTTAAATAAAATGATGTAGAAAATTATGACCCAGAAGTATAGCTTTGTTTACAATAATATTTACAGCAAAAAGTTTTACATATCATCATAAAAATTATTGTTACCATAAGTCGTTCGAAAGCAGAACTTACAAAAGCATGTGTAAACATATTATACAATATAAAACGTTTTATAAAATATAACTAACATATATAATACGTATTATATATTACATTATTAATACGATTACACAGCATAAAACAAAATGTGATTTTTTACAGATTGTTAAAAACATTAATACACTTTATTCAAGTAAGTCAGAAAATAACAACATTTTTATTAGGTAGTAAGGAAAGGTTTAGAAGAATGCAATACAGCGACATTCATACAATTATGCAAATATAAATGTGGCACCATTATTTTGTATCATTATAGCACAAAGAAAAATTTCAGTTCCTTACCTCTGTTTTGTTACTGTATCGGGAGTCAAGATTTCTCTATTTTTACTATTTTCTCTCACTGTTTTTTATACTTCAGTGTGATGAACTATATTATAACTGTTAATACTTATAATTTCGCTGAGAAAATAACTTTACAGAGACCAACCTTTATCAACCCTTTACGAAAACAATAAATATAGTAACAAATAGAAATACAAATTTTACTGTACATTTTTCTTTCATGTCAATCTTTCAACAGTACCTTGCTAAAATTGTATACTTCTAAACCATTATAACACCACACGTAATAGCTTAAATTGTAATATAACAATTTAACTTATGTGACAGCGGTTCTCGCTTACATACAAAATGTTGAATTCATATACTTACTTTTAGAAACCTAAAATAGTTACTAATGGTTGTTTTCAGGATCTTTTTTTAGATTTATTAGGTACTTGATATTTTCTCGTTACGCTTAGTAATGTGTCTTTCTATTTATCGCGACTACGAACGTGAAATACATTATACGCGCACAACACACATCAAAATCATATATATAAACTGTAAAAAACAACACATAAAATTAATCTATACCGCTCTCTTTGATTATGTGCTACTATTTGGTATTAAAAAGCAAAGTAAAAAAATATACAATGTCATTCTTCATTTTTCATCGCTTTAATCCGTTATATCTAATTGATCATGAGAGTCATTTGTAGAATCAAAGTACCCTCTGTAAAACATAACTAAACACATCTTCGTTGCAAGTTCTTCGTACGGATTGTCGCTGGGTTCAATCATTTCAGTGTTTTCTGTTACTATTTCCGGCATCATACTTAACCTAAATGTTATACCTGCAAACACGGCGTATAATTTTCTCTTTCGCATAGCCGCTTTCAACTGTCCCATCGTGGGTGGTTTTGTTGTGCAATTCAGCTCTTCCATTGTGTTCGTCAAAGTCTTCAAATATTGTTGTAACAGTTCCTCGTCGTGATCATGTATCACGGCAGTTTCCGGTGAAGTGTTTAAGAAGTGATGCAAGTCAATAGCAGGCGATGAATAGGTGGCCATTTGATAATGTTGCTGCAAAGTGTTTCAAAAACGTTTAATTTTTAATGCTACTTTTACACTTACGCAAACTTTAGTAAGACAATCTTTGTTTTATGTGACGGAAAAGTACATTACCAGTAAAAGAGGTAGACTGCTGTTGTCAGGAAAGAGTAAGTTACTAATGGAAAAGTCTCCATTATTCAGAACACAAAATTCCTCGGGTTCGTAACTGAACGATTCGATGATTTGTTGTATAGTGTAAAGGTTATTAAGTACGCTTTCTATTTTATTCGCGACTTCCGGATAAATCTTACGCATAATATCAAGAGTCTTTCTCATAGCAAAGTCAAATGTTGGCATTATATGTTTGCATTGATCTGGTATCACAAGTCTGACGATTTTGAATGACTCTACTAACTCAGAATCCTTAAGAATAAAAAATAAACATTTAAGAGGTTTTCGATTATTTTCTACTACATACATTACTGTACATTACAAAGGTCAGGTAAAAATACATGGTGTTCACATGATATATATTTTCTTTCGATTATCGTTACCTGTTCATGTAAAGCCACCGAGGCTGCATGAAATTTGGCCATAAGTTTTATTGCTTCCGTACAGTCATTCAAATTCAAACCTCTTTCGAAAGATTTCACTTGATATTTTTGTCTCAACAGATCTTTCAAAAAGAGGATTTGAAATTCTGTTGAATAATTGTACAATTCTGGGCCTATTTTTGATTGCAACAAAGTNTCGATCTTTGGCAAAACATTCAGCTGCATTTGTAATTCGTATAAAAATAAGTCTCTCAAAGAGTTATCAGAAAAGACTTTCGCCAAGAGACCTGCCATAACGGAGCCGGAATCGGAATCAGATTCGGTGGTACTTGCAGCATCATAGTATATTGTAACGTACAGTTTAAGTTCAGGTATGAAAACCCAACTCATTTTGTTTTTGTTTTCAGTTTCGTTTTTTGTTGTATCAATATCGAGTCGAGCAGAAATCTCTTCATCATCAAGAATTGATTTTAAAAAATGTGTGGTCAGTTTGCATGTGGTCGATATGTCCATTTTGTTCGTTGAATGATTAATCTATATAATTCGTGATAACATAATTGTTATATAAAAAGTATACCTTAGCTCGATCTGGCAAGAATAACGCCGTGCAGGTAATTTTGCATTATTGTGCGATTAGTGTAAAAATTTAGATAAACACTCTTACCTGTTCTTTGAAAAATGTCGTCCAAAACCGCCGGCTGTCGCGTTAGATGTGCGCAAATTCGTTGTGTTCTGTTTATGCACAGAGGTGGTTTGATCCATGTCAGTCAGCGTTTATGACCTCAAATTTTGAAAGTTTATTGACACAATCTGTGCCGACACAACACAGAGCAATCGATAAATTTCGATTGACCGATTCGAGACGATCAATAGTTTACTATCGATAATTCCTGGAAATAGCAATATTATCGATAGTCGCGTATGTGATCGATACCGCGGGAAAATAGTGAATAGATGCGTTTTATTACTGCGCTTTTAATCTGACAGAGCTTTTACACAGTACGATGTGTTTTACGACACGAGTGGTTTTACGCACTTGAGTATGTAATAACTTACATTGTTTGATTAACAAATGTTTTATTTTTCCACGTTGATTATTTAAGTCGACCACAACTGCATCACATTTTCTCAGAGCATTTTGCAAATGCTCATGTGATACGCGCTGTACATTCTGCTTATACATGAAATACCCTTTTTTATTCTGATGACTATTTACTCAAGTAACGGTGATCGATGGATTTCTCAAAGTTTAAAAGAAGAAATAAGTAAAATAATTATTTTCAGATGGTTTTCTACATAGTTGTAGTTATTTTTGTCGTGTATTGAAACCGCGATACTTATAACAAATGAACTAAATCTATATGTTTGTCTATATTGATAAGAATTGTTTTATCTATTCAATTTGGGAAACTATTTTAAGAAATAAGATTAAAACACACAGATAATAAAAACGTATCTCTTCCAAAACACTTGCTTCGCATGCGTTGGCTGTAGTTTGACTATGTAGATATTTGAATTTATATTGCAGTATCGTACACCGACTTTTCGCGTGTAAGTCAGCGCTAAACAAAGATGTATTCCTATATTCTTTAAATACAATGACGTAGAAAATTATGACTCAGAAGTATAGCTTTTTTATTATAATATTTGCAGCAAAAAGTTTTACATATCCTTATAAAAATTATTGGTATTATAATTTATTCGAAATCGGAGAATTTTAGAAAAGCATGTGTAAACATATTATACAATATAAAACGTCTTATACAATATAAATAACATATATAATACGTATTATATATTTATTATTAATACGATTACACAGCATAAAACAAAATGTGATTTTTTACAGATTGTTAAAAACGTATGTACATTTTATTCGAGTAAGTCAGAAAATAGCAACATTTTTATTAGGTAGTAAGGAAAGATTTAGAAGAATGCAATACGGCGATATTCATATAAGTATCATATTAATATATTCATATTATTATAGCAAAAACTAATGTGGGACCATTAGTTTGTATCATAGCATAAAGAAAAATTTCAGTTCCGGATCTCTGTTCTGTTACTGTATCGGGAGTCAAGATTTCTCTATTTTTACCGATTTCTCTCACTGTTTTTTACACTTCAGTGTAATGAACCATATTATAACTGTTAATACTTATAATTTGGCGTAGAAAAGAACGTTAGATGGAAAAAACTTTATTACGGAAACTATAAATATATTAACAAGCCAAAATACAAATCTGTCTATATATTGTTACTTGTCGTCAATCTTTCATCTTTACATTACAGTAATAAAATATATTTTTAAACCGTTATAAAACCACTCGCAATAAGTTAAATTGATGTGGCATAGCAATTTATCTCATGTGATTGCGGTTCTCGCTTACTTAAAAAATGTTGCATTTACTATTTAGTTGTAGAAAACTAAACTATAATAGTTCCCTTCTCTCAATTTTTTTTCATACTTATTAGGTGCTTGATATTTGCTTATTACGCTTAGGAATGTGTCTTTCTATTTATCGCGAATTCGAAAATGGAATAATAATTAGACGCACACAATACACATATGAATTAATTACATAAAGTGTAAAACAAATATATAGAAGTCAATATCGCTATGTGATTACGTGTCGTTTTTGTGTAATTAAAATCAACTTAAAAAAGAGTAAAATATTTTTCTTTATAGGTTTGTTTTGTTTTTCTGCACTGGCTGCTTTAGTTTACGGTTTATGTTTTTTTCTTCTTATATGGATACAAAAAGATAGATTGTGAACTGGTGCAGCCACAGTGCAGGAAATAAAACAATTATCATACTTCATCACTCTTTCTTTCACTTGTCTTCGATAATTGTGATTCTAATTGCTTATATATCATCAAAGTATCCTTTGTGAAACATAACTAAACACATTTTCTTCGCAAGTTCTGTGTACAGATTTTCATCGTGTTTGATATTTTCTGTGTTTTCTCTTCCTGTTTCCGTCATCTTAACTAACCTAAATGTCATACCCGCAAACACGGCGTATAACTTTCTCTTTCGCATAGCCGCTTTCAACTGTTTCATTGTGGGTGGTGTTGTCGTGCAGTTGAGCGCCTTCATTGTGTCCGTCAAAGTCTCCAAATATTGTTGCAACATTTGCTCGTCTTGATCATGTATCACGGCAGTTTCCGGTGAAGTGTTTAAGAAGTGATGCAAGTCAATAGCAGGCGATGAATAGGTGGCCATTTGATAATGTTTCTACAAAGTGTTTCAAAAACATTTAATTTTTATGCTAATTTTACACACTTACGCGAACTTTAACGCCAGTTTTTGTTTTATGTGACAAAAAGATAAATTACCAGTAACAGAGTTCGAGTGCTGTTGTCAGAAAAGAGTATGTTACGAATGGAAAATTCTCCATTATTCAGAACACAAAATTCTTCGGGTTCGTAACTGAACAACTCGATGATTTGTTGTATAGCGTGAAGGTTACGAATTACACATTTCATTTTAGCTGCGATTAGCGGAAAAATGTCATTCATAACAGCAGTTACCTTTTTCAAAGCATAGCGGAACATTTGCATCATATGTTCGTATTGTTTTGATATCACAATTTTGTCGATTCTGCATGACTCTACTAATTCAGGATCCTTAAGGATAAAAAAAAAAAAAAAAACAGGTTTTTCGATTATTTTCTACTACATACATATTATTGTACATTACAAATGTCAAGTAAAAATACATGGTGTTCACATGATTTTTTTTTTTTTCGAATTGTTACCTGTTCATGTAAAGCCACCGAGGCTGCGTGTAATTTGGCCATAAGTTTTATTGCTTCGGTGCAGTCATTCAAATTCAAACCTTTTTCGAAAGATTTCACTTGATATCCTTGTCTCAACAGATCTTTCAAAAAGAGGGTTCGAAATTCTTTTGAATGATGGTACAATTCTAGGCTTATTTTTGATTGCAACAAAGTCTCGATCTTTGGCAAAACATTTTGCTGCATTTGTAATTCGTATAAAAATAAGTCGCACATAGAGTTATCAGAAAAGACTTTCGCCAGGAAATATGCCTTAACGGAGCCGGAATCAGATTCGGAATCAGATTCGGAATCAGATTCGGAATCAGATTCGGAATCAGATTCGGAATCAGATTCGGTAGTACTTGCAGCATAGCATACTGCAATGTACAATTTAGTTTCATTGATGATAAACCAACTCAGATTCTCTTTGTTTTCAGTTTCGCTTCTTGTCGTTTCAATATTGAATTGAGTAGAAACCTTTTTCTCATCGAGAATTATTTTCATAAAATGTTGCGCAATCGATTCGAATTTGATCGGTGTGTTCATTTTGTTCGTTGAATGACTGAACTATATAATTTGTGATAATATAATTGTTATATAAAAAGTATATTTTATATAGAAGAGGTTAGAAATTTAGATAAAGGCTTACATATTTTGGAGAAATGTCGTTTGTATCGCCGGCTGTCGCGTGTAGTATGCTTGAGTTTATCGAGACCGGTATAATCTCAGGAGTTTTTATTTCTTTAGCAAGCAGAGCGGCTAACATTTTATTTTTTTCCCAGTTCTTGGGATTAAATTCGGTTTGGTGCATATATGGCTCAAAGGGGCCATTACTGTCCTTGGCACTACGCATGTTGACCGTAAACGTAGAACATATAGACTGCGCGTTTGGCTGAAAACAGTGATGAAAGATTTGACCGGCTAGCACCAAGAGCACCGATGTGGTGGGAGCCACTGAGAGCCATAGACGTATAATATATAGACTGCGCGTTCCCTACCTTTGCCATGTTAAGAAAATGTCTTCAACGTTGAGAGAGAGACAGCTGGTGTTGAATAGTAGCCTCATCTTTGTCTAGCGAAGTAGTGGAGTAAATGATAGACAGAGAAAGAGTTACTATTCAAAGTATGTTGTCTCTCTCAACGTTGAAGACATTTTTTCAGCCAAACGCGCAGTCTATATATTATACGTCTATGCTGAGAGCACGCACACAAGCGAACCGCCGTCCGTGTGCGTGACGTCACGCTTGTGTGCGTCTCTCAGTGGCTCCCACTCTTGGTGCTGGCCGGTCAGATCTTTCATCACTGGCTGAAAAGATGTTGGTTTGGTTTGGTTTGGTTTGGTGCAAGTATGGCTATTGGACCGCAAAGACTAGTCCACACGCCAGTCTGAGTACAGATTGATCCTTATGTTACCGAAGCACTGTACGTATACAGTCTTTAAAGATTATTAGTTATATACTTGTTTAAACTAGAGACAATGATGATAATAAAGAAAGTGGTGTAAAAACACCGAAAATTGTCCAAAAATATTCACAGTGGAACTACGCACATCCAACCAACATGGCTGATGCAACACGACTTTTGAAAAGATGTTTTTACGGTTGACAAAGACAACATACTTTGAACAGTAACTATCTCTCTGTCTATCAATGTGTGGTGGGATCAGGGCCTATTGTTTCATACCACCTAACCTATATATATATATATATAACTTGCCATCACCCCTTAATTTCTTTCATTCCTCTTCTCATCCCCACTATTCTTCTATTCTCACTACTATTCTATCAATCAGCGATGACTTCTTTTTCCCCACTACTTTGCTAGATAAAGATGAGGCTACAGTTCAACACCAGCTGTCTCTCTCAATAGTGAAGACATTTTCTTAACATGGCAAAGGTAGGGAACGCGCAGTCTATATATACGTCTATGATGTCGACAACACGAACCAAATCAAATCGCGTATGGACTATCTTTTCAGTCTATGAGCCACAAATGCACCAAACCAAGCCAAACGTAGCAAATCGATAAATGTTGGTTGACTGATTTGAAACGATTTATACTAGTTACTGTCAATAATTTCTGAAGACAATAATATTATCGATAGTCGCGTTTGTGATTTTTGAATACGCGGGAAAATCGTGACTTGATGCGTATCCGATCTCGATCGTGACCGAATTCCCTTTCTGGGGATTCTCTCTACAGGAACCACGGTGATCGAGTGGCATTTCTATAAGTTATTAGGAAGAAGTGACTGTGGAAGAATATTTTGAAAATCATTTTTCACATTGTTATTGTAGCCATTTCTGTTGTTTATCGAAACTGCAATAATTATCTTACATTAGAACTGTATGTTTGTCTATTTTGATAAGAATGGTTTTATCTATTTATATCTATTTAATTTAGGAAACTTTTTCAAGAAATAAGAATTAAAAAAGATAATGAGAACGTACCTCTCCGAGAACATTTGAGTCGCATACGTGCTTGTTGTTTTGCTTATACATGTGAGTGTTATGCAAGATCGTATTCCTATCTTTTGTGTGTAAATAAGCGCTAAATATAATCGTATAACATATATGTATAATCATATAGTTTGAAATAAATTAATGTCGAAAATGATAAAACAGTAGTGTTTATTGCTTAGTTTTCTTTTTGATACCATACGTACAGCAGCATATTTTATATAACTTATAAGAATTCTTATATCTTTTTATAAATATATTTTTAACAGCAAAAATTCTTACGCAACATCTTAAAAAATATTATTATTATTATGTGTTCTAAGTCGAGATTTGAAAAAAAGCATGTGTAAACATATACAATATAAAACGTTTTATACAATATAATAATATATAATACGTATTACAATTTTATTAATACTATTACACAGCCTAACATGATTTTGTATTTTTATAAATTGTTAGAAAAGTACTTATAGTTTATTCGAATAAGTAATAAAATAGTGCAACATTTTTATTATCTCGTAAAACAAAATGGTTTAGAAGAACAAAGCAAATTTATTCAATAATGTACAAATAAATGCGGTGCAAAGCGTCATTATTTTGTATCATTATTGCAAGAAGAAAAATTACAGACGGACATCTGTTTTGTTACTTTGTCGGTAACGAGATTTCTCTGTGGTGTTACTATTTTTTCCTATTTTTTTTTTTTTACAGTCCAGCGTAGTGAACCATGCCATGACTGTTACTAATTATCATTTCGCGGTATGGTGATAACAGTATGTCACCAGGAGACAAAATAACTTGACAGAGAGAAAAAATTATCATCCTATTACGGAGACATCAAATATATTACAGAAAAAAACAAAATTAAAATTCTGACGGTATGTTCCTGATGTTCGATCTTTCAACTTTTCGCTGATAAAGTTGCTTAGTTCTAAACCAATGAAAAAACACACGCAATAAATTAAATTGATTTGGTAAATAATTTAACTTATGTGATTGCGGTTTTCGCTTACTAAAAAAATGTTGCATTTACATATTTACTTGTTTAACACTGTAATAGTAGTTCTTTGAGTTTTTTTTAACTACTAATTGCCTGATATTTGCTTGTTAAGCTAGACGAGTATTGCGTCTTTCTATTTACTGCGATTACGATTATGAAACACCATTTACGCATCTAACACACATATAAATTATATATATAAACTGTAAAAAAGAATACATACACAAGAATTAGTCCATACCGCTCTCTCTGATTACGTGCCGTTATTTCGTATTAAAAATCGAAGTAAAAAAGTGTAAAATATCATTCTTCATTTTTCAGCGCTTGTTTCATTTCAAACTCGTGTGACAATGTGATTATACTTCTGTTTCTACGTAAGAAATACATCTATAATCATAGTACTTTTTGTAGAACATATTTGAACACATCTTCTTTGCAAGTTCCTCCCACGAATTTTTGTCGTGATCGCTATTTTCTGTGTTTTCTTCTACTTTATCCATCATCACACTCAATCTAAATGTCATGCTCGCAAACACGGCGTATAATTTTCTCTTTTTCATAGCCGCTTTCAACTCTTTCATTGTGGGTGGTTGCGTCTTGCAGTTTAACGTCTGCATTGTATTTTTCAAAGTCAATAAATATGTGTCTAACAGAATTTTGTCTTGATCAATCACCATGGAAGTCTCCCCGGAAGTTTTTAAGAAGTAATGTAAGTCAATAGCTGGCGATGAATAGGTTGCCATTTGATAATTTTGCTGCAAATTGTTCCAAAAACATTCAATTGTTTATGCAAATGTTACACATCTTGGCAAACTTTAGCAAGAAAAACTTATTTTATTTAACAAAAAGGAACATTACCAGTAAGAGAGGAACATTTGTGGCTTCAGGAAAGATTAAATTACTAGTGGAAAAGTTTCCATTATTTAGCACACAAAATTCTTCGGGTTCGTAAGTGAACAACTTGATGATTTGTTTCATAGTGTAAATTTTATGGAGTAAGGATTCCATTGCAGCTGCAATTAGCGGATAGGTCGTGTTCATAAAAGCAATTACTTTTGTCATAGTGTTGCGAAAGATGCGCATCAAATGTTCGCAATTTTTTTCTGTCGCAAGTTTCTCGATCTTGAATGCCTCTATTAAATCAGGATCCTTAAGATAAAAAAAAAAAAAAACAGTTGTGAGAGGTTTGATTATCTTGTAATATATACATTTGCTATACATTTTAAATGTTAGATAAAATCACGTGTTGTTTTATTGATTTTGTTTCCAATAATTGTTACCTGTTCATGTAAAGCCACCGAGGCTGCGTGTAATTTGGCCATAAGTTTTATTGCTTCGTTACAGTCAGTCAAATTCAAACCTCTTTCGAAAGATTTCACTTGATATCCTTGATTTAACAGATCCTCTATTATAAAAATTCTAAATTGGTCTGAGTAATGGAACAATTCTGGTATTACTTTTGTTTGCAACATGATCTCGATCTTCGGCAAAACATTTTGCTGCAATTTTAACTCGTTCATAAATATCTCGTGCGAATAAATAAGTCGAACGTATTTAAAACACTGTTTATCATCATAGTTGTCTTGTTTTATGATATCTGGCAACGAGTCATCGGAATCAAAGTCGAGCAATTCTTGATGTACTCTAATGTATACTTTGATCTCATCAATGAAAAACGGAGATGTTTTTTTCACTAATTTGTCGGCTTTGTGTCTGTGCGAATCTATTATTATAGAAAACTGGTTTTCATCAAGAAGTATTTGGAAAAAACGTACTATGATGTCTTCCAATGTTTGTGTATACAACATGTTTAATTCGTCGTTAGGTCGGTCCATTTTATTCGTTGAATGATTGATCTATATAATTTGTGATAACATAATTGTTATGTGAAAATATACATCTCATTATCTCAATCTGGCGAGAATAATGCCGTAATTTTGCATTATTTTTCGAAGAGTTTAGAAATTTAGATGAGAACGTACCTGTTTTGGAGAAACTTTGTTTGTAATCGTCGATTGCTGCGAGTTTGTCGTGTTCTGGGTTTTGCACAGAAGTGTTTTGATCTATGTGAGTCAGCGTTTACGACTTCACATCTTGTAAGTTTGTTGACATAATGTTAACAACACAAAGCAATCGATAAATTTCGGTTGACTTTAGAACGATCTCTCTATACTAGGTACAGACGGCGTCATTAATTCGAAGAATAAGCGCGGGGATCGGAGGGCAAGCGGGGCGGTTGCTCGTAGCGCCAACGGGCGCCGTACTAACTAACTAGTAGCAATCGGGTGTCCACAACTGGACACCCGATTTTGGGACTAATGGATATTTGGATCAACTGGACTTTTTATGTAATCCCCGCGTCTATTCTTCGAATTAATGACGCCGTCTGTACTATCGATAATTTCTGAAGACAGCAATATTATCGTTAATCGCGTCTGCGATCTTCGAAAACGCGAGGAAATCGTAAATCGATGCGTCTAAGTGTCCTAATCTCACAGCGGTCCTAATCTTTTTTAACGCGGTTGTGTTTTACGACACAAGTGGTTGTACGCAATTAGTAGTAAGTATTTA